ACGATAAAAAACGCCCGGGTCGTTTGAACTGCTCGCTCGGAAAATTGAACAGTATTTTATACAAAAATAACGGATTCGGTGACGTGCCACTAAATTCCAAGGATTTACGATTCTGGTAATTTATAATTACTAGGGCTATGACGACCACGTACGGGATATTGCAGCAAAATTTTTAATACCTTCGGTGACAGGCGGTTGTGACGAGAATGAAAAATGTAAAATGTTTATGATTTATGAATAGTTCTGTTGCAAAAGATCTTGCAATAATATTAATAATAATTGTTATGTCGAAATATTACTAAATAAATAGACAAATATTTATAGAATATTAATAATTATTATCCATAGAGTGTTAATAAAGGAACATTATTTTAAACAAGATATATAATGTGAATAATAAAGGTCGACTAAAACGGACGTATTTCTTGTACAAACATGAAATTTCATTTGACGGAAAATTGATATAGTGATTCAATAGAAGTGGGACGTTTGCGAGAGTGACTTGCACCTCAGACAGCAGTGAAGTAAATCTAATGAGAATTTAACGACGCGATTCGGTCGGTCGTGAACTCTGAAAATCGATGGATATCTGTTCTCGTAAGTGGCGAACGCGAGCTGACAATTATTTCATGGACGAAATTTTAACGACTGAGGGAAATATAAATCGATGTTAAACTGCTACATTATTCAAGTTAAAATAACTGGTATAAAAGTCGAGAATTTGGAATGAATTCGAGATGTCTATTTATTAAACGAGTACAGGTATTCGAGTACTTAATCATTGAGAACGAGTATTCTAATAATTAATTAATTATTAATACAAGTACTCGAGTGTGCAGTTGTTGAGTACTGGTATTTGAGTACTTAATCATTGAGTACAGGTATTCTAATAATTAATTAATTATTAATACAAGTACTCGAGTGTGCAGTTGTTGAGTACTGGTACATGAGTACTTATACATTGAGTACAAGTATTTTAATAATTAATTAATTATTAATACAAGTACTCGAGTGTGCAGTCGTTGAGTACTGGTACTTGAGTACTTAGATGTGGAATACCAGTACTCAAGTACTTAGTTCTCAAATACCAGTATTTATATACTGAATACAGATACTCAAGTACTTAGCTCTCGAATACCAGTATTTATATATGGAATACTAGTACTCAGATACGTAGTTCTCGAATACCAGTACTTCTGTATTAAATACCAGTACTCAGGTACTTAGTTCTCGAATACCAGTACTTCTGCATTAACTACCAGTACTCAGGTACTTAATTCTGCAATACCAGTACTTATGTATTGAATATCAATGGTCTAGTATTTAACTGACGGATACTTTCATTCTGAGTTCGAGCATGTAGTTGCATTCTAATTCTTATGTTCTGAATACTGATACATGGAATACTGATACTCGAATAATTAATATTAAGTTTGAGTAACATTGTGAGTATTAGTATCTGAGTAGGTACTCACCTATATCAGTACTATTATGTATGGAGTACCTATACCATATGCAGGCACTTACATATTGAGTAACAGTGCCATATGCAAGTATTTACACATTGAGTAACAGTGCCATATGCAAGTACTTACATATTGAGTACCAGTACCATATGCAAGTACTTACATATTGAGTACGAGTACTATATGCAAGCACTTACATATTGAGTAACAGTGCCATATGCAAGTATTTACATATTGAGTAACAGTACCATATGCAAGTACTTACATATTGAGTACAAGTACTATATGCAAGCACTTACATATTGAGGTTCAGTACTATATGCAAGTACTTACATATTGAGTAACAGTGCCATATGCAAGTACTTACATATTGAGTACCAGTACCATATGCAAGTACTTACATATTGAGTACCAGTACCATATGCAAGTACTTACATATTGAGTACCAGTACCATATGCAAGTACTTACATATTGAGTACGAGTACTATATGCAAGCACTTACATATTGAGTAACAGTGCCATATGCAAGTACTTACATATTGAGTACCAGTACCATATGCAAGCACTTACATATTGACTACCAGTATCCCAGTACTTGCACCTTGAGTACTAAAGCATTTCCACATCGAGTACCAGTATCTAAAAGTATTCTCATTGAGTACTGGTATTCGAGTACCTTATACTAAACTACGAACGTACTAATGTACAAGTAACTATTATATTAATCCTTCCTAAATAATAGTTCCTTAAATATTTACGTACAAAATACAAGTACCCAAGTATTCAAATTCCAAGTACAAAGTACTCAAGTACAAAATAATCCAAACACGAAGTTCATCATGATATCATATTTCTCCTCCCGTTTAACCAAAAGTGCCGCAGTTAAATAGCGGTATAAAGTGAAATTGGTCGTCGACCGTAAATCTTCGAAAATAAAATTTCGCCGTAAATGTATCAGATTCATTGAATCCTGTCAGTTCGAATTTAGAGCGCATTTTTTCACGTTCATAATGGCCTCGTAAGAAGTTGAAAATCGACGTGCTGATGTTTGCTTTTTCGTGCTCCAGTTTCGACTGTTACTTATTGGAACGTGACAACGTTCCAGGAAACTCATGAGATTTTATACTCCGCAAAGGATGTTTATGTGCAGCAGTCGCGGGCCAGAGTGACCCAGTTTCGAACAGTCTTTTAACACAATCGGGTAGCGCATCTAGAGTGATGATCTCGTTGGATAAAAACGATTAAAAGCCGGCCACGCTCGATGAATTAAATGCTCCAACAACCGTACGAAATTTCTTGTTTACTTGCTGAAAAACAGATACGAGCAATTATTTTTATAATTTCCCCGGTGAACCGTGCATTTGTTTATTCTTCCTCGCTTGATTTTAGACGAATGACATTTTTCGCTGATTTAATGGATATTGATAGCGGGGGGGCTTGCAGCTTTATTTTTCGGTTATCGATATTGGAGTGATGGGATACATGTAACGAATAATACGATAGTCGGGTATCGATCGGTCAACGGCAGTCGCGAAATACGGGAAAAGAATGGAAATAACAAACATTAGCATAAATTTACATTCGTACGAAATGAACGGGAAGAAAATAGAGAAAATTTTCTTCCCGTCCTGTTTCTTTACCCCGGCTTGATTCCTTGACAACAGAAAATGAACTGCCTGTGTCTCGTGAAATTTCGCTCCACGATGTGATTAAAGACACGCCCCAAAAGATTTCGTGGAAATTAGCTTAGCGAACGGGTCACGGTACTTTCTGTAGTACTATATTCTGTATTAGCTGTTTTTCAATTTATGAGATAATTCAATTATTCAATTCCTCCATTTTTCAGTTCAGCAAGTTTAAAATTTTTTAACTTTTCAGATTTATAATTTTTCAATTTTTCAATTCTTCAATTCTTCGATTTTTCAATTCTTTGATTCCTCAATTCGTTAATTCGTCAATTCGTCAAATTGTCAATTCGTCAATTTGTCAATTCGTCAATTTGTCAATTCGTCAATTCGTCAATTCGTCAATTCGTCAATTCGTCAATTCGTCAATTCGTCAATTCGTTAATTTGTCAACTCGTTAATTTGTCAATTCGTCAATTTGTCAATTCGACAATTTGTCAATTCGTCAATTTGTCAATTCGTCAATTCGTCAATTCGTCAATTCGTCAATTCGTCAATTCGTCAATTCGTCAATTCGTCAATTCGTCAATTCGTCAATTCGTCAATTCGTCAATTCGTCAATTCGTCAATTCGTCAATTCGTCAATTCGTCAATTCGTCAATTCGTCAATTCGTCAATTCGTCAATTCGTCAATTCGTCAATTCGTCAATTCGTCAATTCGTCAATTCGTCAATTCGTCAATTCGTCAATTCGTCAATTCGTCAATTCGTCAATTCGTCAATTCGTCAATTCGTCAATTCGTCAATTCGTCAATTCGTCAATTCGTCAATTCGTCAATTCGTCAATTCGTCAATTCGTCAATTCGTCAATTCGTCAATTCGTCAATTCGTCAATTCGTCAATTCGTCAATTTGTCAATTCGTTAATTTGTCAACTCGTTAATTTGTCAATTCGTCAATTTGTCAATTCGTCAATTTGTCAATTCGTCAATTTGTCAATTTGTCAATTTGTTAATTATAAAATCTTCCAACCGTAAATTCCTAAATTCCTCAATTCTACAATCTTGTAACTTTTAGATTCTTCAATCCTCCAATTCTTCTATTCTTCTATTTTTCAATTCGTCAATTATTCAAGTTATGAATTTGTCAATTATAAAATCTACCAATCTTAAATTCATATATTCCTCAGTCCTACAAGCTCGTAATTTTTCATTTCTTCAATTCTTGAATTCGTCAATTATTCAATTTATCAATTTGTCAATTTGTCAATTATAAAATCTACCAATCTTAAATTCATAAATTCCTTAATCGTGCAATCTTGTAATTTTTTAATTCTTCAATTCTTCAATTCTTCAATCCTTCAATTCTTCAATTCTTTAATTTTTCAATTCGTCAATTCGTCAATTATTCAATTTATGAATTTGTCAATTTGTTAATTATAAAATCTACCAATCTTAAATTCATAAATTCCTGAATCCAACAAGCTTGTAATTTTTCAATTCTTCAATCCTCCACTTCTTCAATTATTCAATTGTTCAATTGTTCAATTTTTTTATTTTTCAACATTTTATTTTTTAAAACATTCAAATTTGCATGTTCCCAAATCCCCACACATCGAGACATCAAATATTTGCTGAAAACAATGAACACCGTCGAAACTGCTTTGATTTTACATAACAAATCCTCCTGCGCATTTTCGATTTGAATACGAAACCTCGTACAAACGTGTAGACAGATTTCCCTGCACTTTCAAGCTTCGAAACTATGGTATTATCGGAAACCACGTACAACGGGAAACACGGTACCGACGGTACGAATAATTTTCTACCTCGAAAATCGACAGAACGGAACGTACGTTAAAACAACTGCAACATTAATTTGTCGTTCTCTTTTTTTCTGTGTGTTCACAGCCACCGAGGAATTGGGGAGCAGTATGAGCACCACCCTACCGTCCGCACCGACAGAACTCTCGCAATTCCCGAAGCTTTGCGAGCTACGACGAAAGTTTCCTGTTCTGTATCGCGTGGAGTTTCAGGTGAGGACAATAAATTTCACCGTACCTTCACTCGATCCCCTTTCAACGTTTCCCGAGCTTATTTCTCGCTTTCGATAAGACTGCCAACTTTTGCCGTGACCGTGTGGTAACTTGAGTAAATATTCGAACGTTTATGACGGTGTATTGCCACGAATATAAAGCTGGATGAAGATTTATTAGTTTTCTTTTGAAAGGAGGGACATTTGAAAGCTTGGTACGTGTGCTACTGGAGCTGTAACTTGGTACAATTATTTTTAGTCAATATTTGCGAGGGTGGTGTGTATAGTTTGTATCAGAATTTGTTTTTTGGTAATTAGATTTTGTGTACAAGTATTTTGTGGAGGGAGTATTCAAGGTTCAGTACAAGTATTTTGTGAATTGAGTATTCGAGGTTGAGTACAGGTATTCGAGTATTCAAGGTTGAATACAGGTATTCGAGTACTCAAGGTTGAGTACAAGTATTCGAGTACTCAAGGTTGGGTACAGGTATTCGAGTACTCAAGGTTGAGTACAAGTATTCGAGTACTCAAGGTTGAGTATAGGTACTCGAGTATTCAAGATTGAATACAGGTATTCGAGTACTCAAGGTTGAGTACAAGTATTCGAGTACTCACGAATCGAATACCAGTACTCAAGTACTTAAGTCATGAGTATCTAAGTGCCTAGTACTTATGTTCTTAGTATCCTATGTTCCTAGTAGTTATGTTCCCCATACCTACGTCCCTAATACCTGTGTCCCTACTGCTTATGTCCCTCTTGCCTATGTTTCTACTGCCTATGTCCCTACTGCCTATGTCTTTACTACATATGTCCCTAACACCCATGTCCCTAATACCTATGTCCCCCATACCTATGTCCCCCATACCTATGTCCTCCATACCTATACCCCCCATACCTATGTCCCCCATACCTATGTCCCTAATACCTATGTCCCCCATACCTATGTCCCCCATACCTATGTCCCCCATACCTATGTCCCCCATACCTATACCCTCCATACCTATGTCCCTAGTAGTTATATAAATCCCAAGCACGTCCTAACTACCTAACTCTCCAAGTTCGTTATTTCCCATCCAATAATTTCCACCCTCCACTCCGTGCCCCATATTCTCCTCCAAATATCTCGCCACTGGTTATTTCATAACTCTGACGAATTTTAGCCCATCGCAAATTGAACGAAACAGCCCGAGACAAGATGATCATCGGACAGTTTACACAGTGTCAAACAATAATTCGAAACGACATATCTAATATTACCCACTCTATTAAATTACACGTGAAATTCGTTTCCATCCTACGTGTAGCAAACGCATCGCGTATTCAGCCTCGGTGACTACGGAGTGCCTTTAAGGTAGGCAGCCAGCCAAGACAGAGGAAGACGAGAGCGGAGAAGATGACATCCAGGAGACAAAGCGATCCCACGAGAATAGGCGGTGGTATCGGTTTCTCATTAGACTGCCATTTTGGTGTACGAATTCTAGACCGCTCGCTTCAAGACGTAGAGCACCTGACATAGAGCAGAGAACAGTCGGAAAGTCACTCCGACTAAGTTCCTTTAATTTAACTTCCTGAACGTCTCCGATATCGGAAAGGAAAATTATTAATTTGAATTGTGACAAATTATGAAAAATTATGAAACTCATGGAACTGTGATAAATTGCGAAATATTCTGGAACTAATAACACTGTGAAAAATTATGAAAAATTGTGGAAAATTTTGGAACTGAAAAATTATGAAGAATTATAAAACTTATGGAACTGATAAATTGGGAAAAGTTGTGAAAATTATAAAAAATGATAAAAAATTATGAATCTAGGAATATTACATGTGACATAATTTTTGTTTGGTCAACTCGTTTTAAAGAGTTAAAATAAATCCTCGAAGATTGAATAACTTTTTGAATTAATTTTTTATCTAGCAATCTGTAAAGGAAAGAAAGTTTTAAGAAGAAAGTTTTTAATTAGATCTATCAAACAGTTTCATCAGCTGTTTAAACAATTTGCGAAAGTTATGGGCAAAGATGTTAAGTTTGTCTGAAATACATCTTGAAATCTTGATCTTGAATTTCCGGATCGGGGATGTTCTGTTTAATTTATATCTGAGTGACGTTGCCAGTCTATAACTTAGCTTGACATTTCAAGTGCCACTGTACTCGATATTTCAACATCATTGTTTCAACATTTCGTGTTTTGCGTTGTTTTGTTTGCAGACAGCAACGAAGGTGGAGACACACTCGTGTAGACACGCCACGAAGCCAGCGAACAAGGAGAAGAATCAGAACCAGAAATGTATTCCTTGTAAGTGACCTTGAGAATAACTCAAATAAAAAATTATAACTCTTATTTGATGTATTATGCTTTGATAAAATTAAATTTTCTGTACGCAGACGACTATAACAGGGTGGTGTTAGACACGATCGAAGGCGAACCTGATTCCGATTACGTTAACGCATCCTACGTAGATGTGAGTGTTCAAAAGTTACTATAAATTTGATCCAGTGAAGTATTTACAGTGACCTACTCGTTTCGATCTGAAATTCGATACATTATCCACGAGATCTTAACGATCCCTTCAGCAGTTCTACACGTTTCTTAAATTAAACTTGTACGAAATTCTTTGGGACGATCGTTGTTATCGCTGGGTTAAATTAAAGGTCAAGCTCAAGGTTGACTGTAATGACAACCCCCAACATGATATTGCGACGGCACCGTTTGAATAATTCATAATCTGTGTTACCCAAAATAGCGTACGAAATGTTGTCGCTATACTTGCAATACTTAGTTGATTTAGATATACTTTGAGTAGTTGAGTACCAAGTATTCCTGTACTCAAGTACTCGCATGTACTCACTATTTGTGCTATTCAAGATTAGAGCACCGGTATTCAAGCATTTTTTTAATTTAATATGGAGATTCTCAATGTATTTAGGTATCTGATAATATAGGTACATGAATATGTCACTTTTGAGTACAAGTATTTGAGTACATTTATTGGAATATATTCACTTGAGTGCAAATACTTGAATACATATTGAGATACTAAGTAGTTGAGTACTTAGACAGCTAGTGTTCAGTACTTGAATACCAAGTGATACTCAAGTATTCTTCTTAATTCAGTGTTCTTAAAATATTTAGAAATTAGGAAGTATTAATTTGAATGTTGCAATCCAAAGTGCTTAAAGATTTCCAGAGTACGAGTATCGAGTGTCAGGTATCAAGTATCAGGTATCAGGTATCAAGTAGCAGATATCAGGTATCAGATGTCAAGTATCAGATATCAGGTATCAGATGTCAAGTATCAGGTATCAGGTATCAGGGATCAAGTATTAGATGTCAAGTATTAGATGTCAGGTATCAAGTATTAGGTATCAGGTGTCAAGTATCAGATATCAGGTATCAAGTATTGTTTTCAGGTATCAGGTATCAGATATCAAGTATCATATATCAGGTATCAGATGTCAAGTGTCAGATATTAAATATCAGGTATCAGGGATCAGGGATCAAGGATCAGATATCAAGTATCAGTTATCAGGTATCAAGTATTGTTTTCAAGTATCAGGTATCAGTTATCGGTTTCAAGTATCAGATATCAGATGTCGGTTTCAAGTATCAAATGTCAGGTATCGGGTATCAGTTTCAAGTATCAGATATCAGGTTTCAGGTATTAGGGATCAAGTATCAGATGTCAAGTATTAAATGTCAGGTATCAAGTATTAGGTATCAAGTATCAGATGTCAGGTATCAGTTATCGGTTTCAAGTATCAGATATCAGATATCGGTTTCAAGTATCAAATATCAGGTATCAGTTTCAAGTATCAGATATCAGGTATCAAGTATTGTTTTCAAGTATCAGGTATCAGTTATCGGTTTCAAGTATCAGATATCAGATATCAGGTTTCGGTTACAAGTATCAAATGTCAGGTATCAGGTATCAGTGTCAAGAATCAGATATCAAGTTTCAGGTATCAGGGATCAAGTATCAGATGTCAAGTATTAGATGTCAGGTATCAAGTATCAAGTATCAAGTATCAAGTATCAGATGTCAGGTATCAGGTATCGGTTTCAAGTATCAGATATCAGGTATCAAGTATTGTTTTCAAGTATCAGGAATGAGTTATCGGTTACAAGTATCAGATAACAGATATCAGGTATCAGTTTCAAGTATCAAATATCAGGTATGAGGTATCAGTTTCAAGTATCAGATATCAGGTTTCAGGTATCAAGTATCAGGTATCAAATATCAAATATCATGTCCCATTATCAGAACTGGAACAACACAGATTATATAAGACTCCGTATGACACAGTTTGAATATCGAGTACCCAAATACATCCGTACCGAATAAGAGCATTCCAAGTTGGCGCGAAGTTCACTTTATCCCGATATTGTTTCAGAGTATATTGAAACCGAATGCTTACATCGTGACTCAGGGACCCATGGAGAACACTGTAACAGAATTCTGGCGAATGGTTTGGCAAGAGAAGGCATGCTGCATCGTGATGCTAACAAAAACGTTCGACTTCATCAGGGTGAGAAAATCGATCGAAAATCCTGCGTCCGTACACAAACAGCAATTTGTACGATGCCCGAAGAAAAACCGCGGACAACAACATCGCCGAATTTGTTGTCGATCTTCGTGATTGTTTGTTCAGACGTGTTTATTTTAGTATTCGGCTGATTTTCAGCCGGCGCTAGGCTGCATTGTTTTGAGCGCGTTCGTGTCTGACGAACGATAACCGAGTCGGTCGAATCGATTTCAGGTGATGTGTGTCCAATATTGGCCCGCGAGCAAAGACAAGGACGAAGAGTACGGCGGTATCGGGGTTTCCGTGTTGAAGGAGGAGGAACTGGCCAATTTTCACATACGAACGATAAAGCTGTACAAGAAAAACGAGAACGACGTGAGTGCACTTTCCGTGTTTCACAGATTTATTTGCTAGACGTGAAACGTTCGATATAAACGGGGTGCGCATGTTTGTCTATGGGGTGCGAATACATTTTAAACGTTCGAATATGTGCATTGCACGGTCTTAGGTAGACTCTCGTTATATGGCCATCGTTTGTATTGCCGAGCTGCTACGAACTTAGGCATTTGGGTTTTGGAAGGTTGTGATATAGGGATTTAGGGAGTTTTAGAGAATAGCGAAATTTGAGATTTTAATATTTGGGGATTTGAGAAATTTAAAAATTTGAGAATTCAAAAGTAGTCAATTGAAAAATTGAAAAATTGAAAAATTGAATATTTGAAAAATTGAAGAATTGGAAAATTGAAAAATTGAAGGATTGAATAATTGAAAAATTGAAAAATTGAAGAATTGGAAAATTGAACAATTGAAAAATTGAAAAATTGATGGATTGAGTAATTGAAAAATTGAAGAATTGGAAAATTGAACAATTGAAAAATTGAAAAATTGAAAAATTGAAGAATTGAGTAATTGAAAAATTGAAGAATTGGAAAATTGAACAATAGAAAAATTGAAAAATTGAAAAATTGAAGAATCGAGTAATTGAAAAATTGAGTAATTGAAAAATTGAATAATGGGGTAATTGAATAATTAAAAAATTGAATAATGGGATAATTGAATAATTGAAAAATTAAAAATTGACCAGTAAAAATATTACAAAATTTGAAACTTCTAATATATAAAAATTGTAAGATAAGAAAATGTGGAAGCAGGTCAATCTTAAGACTTGACAGTGTAAAAATATCATCACCGTGTGAAAATTTATACCAGCCATTGCTCATACGAGATACACTAAATTCACCGTATTAATCTACAGTAAATCAAGCCGTGATAGGTGCCGTATTTCATTGGCAAAGAATCACCCTTTATCTCCACTCAATTTCGCTACAAATTGCACTTTATAATGCATCAGACAAAGTCGAATAATTTCCAATACAGTGTAAGGAAGTCTGAACTGACAGAAACTCGCGAACGTGGAAACTTTTGTCTGGGAAGTGGACCATCACACGGGGGTTCCAGCAAGACTGAAATTGAAGACAGAAGTTTGTAAAAAGTTGGCGGAATTAACTAGTGAGGAACTAGTCTTGCTGCAACGTTGAAACTGGGTGAATGCAAAACTATACGGATGAGAGATAGAGGATGACGAGATGATAAGTTTACTCGAACGACTGTTACGTAAGGGTTAATTTTATTAGCACACAGGAAATGGAATGAAAACAGGATGATTCCTACCAAATTACCATCGACACATTCCGTGTTTTCATTGGTCGCTCGATTGTTTGATGTAGGGATTATTCGTTATTAGTTGGTTAGGGAAATTATTGGTTATTGATTAATAGCGTTGTCGCAATTCCGATATGTTTCACATGATTATATCTTATCAGGATACAACGTGAAATAATATTGGTTTTGTACTATGAGTATTGATTTATTTGTTTATGCAGGATGTTAATCAATATTCGATAAATGGATAATGTTATGTGAAGCTGTCTACCTATTTGTATTTTGTTATATGGCATAGATGTATGATCCTTATTTGGAATTATATTCTACATTGTTAAGGAACAATGTTTCAACCTCTAAGTACCAATATTAGGTATCAAGTATCAAGTTTCAGATATCAGTATCAAATATCAGGTATCAAGTATCAAGGATCAAATATCAAGTTTCACATATCAAGTTTCAACTATCAAGTTTCAAATATCAGTATCAAATATCAAGGATCATATATCAAGTCTCAAATATCAGTGTCAAATATCAAGCATCACATATCAGGGATTAAGTATCAAGAATCAAATAACAAGAATCAAATATCAAGGATCAAGTATCAAGGAGCAAATATCAGTATCAAATATCAGGGATTAAGTATCAAGGATTAAATAACAAGAATCAAATATCAAGGATCAAGTATCAAGTTTCACAGATCAAGTTTGAAATATCAAGTCCCAAATATCAGTATCAAATATCAAGGATTAAGTATCAAGGATCAAGTATCAAGGATGAAGTATCAAGGATCAAATAACAAGGATCTAATATCAAGTTTCAAATATCAGTATCAAGTATCAAGGATCAAATATCAAGTCTCAAATATCAGTGTCAAATATCAAGGATCACATATCAGGGATTAAGTATCAAGGATTAAATAACAAGAATCAAATAACAAGAATCAAATATCAAGGATCAAGTATCAAGAATCAAATAACAAGGATCCAATATCAAGTTTCAAATATCAGTATCAAATATCACGTATCAAGTATCAAAGATCAAATATCAAGTTTCACAGATCAAGTTTGAAATATCAAGACCCAAATATCAGTATCAAATATCAAGGATCAAATATTAAGTATCAAGTATTCAGTTTCAAGCATCAAATATCAAGTATCAAACTTCAGTAAAAAATATCAGGGGTCAAATATCAAGGATCAAGTATCAGGGATCAAATATAAAGTATCAAATATCAGTATCAAATGTCAGTATCAATTATCAAGTCCAAATGCCAAGCACCAAGTATCAAGTACCAAATACTAACTAAGTACTAACCAAGTATTAAGTATCAATTATCAAGTCCAAATGCCAAGCACCAAGTACCAAGTACCAAATACTAACCAAGTACTAACCAAGTATTATGTATTAACTATCAAGTACTAACCAAGTATTATGTATTAACTATCAAGTACTAACCAAGTACTAAGTACTAACTATCAAGTACTAACCAAGTACTAAGTACTAACTACCAAGTACTACCCAAGTACTAAGTATTAACTATCGAGGACTAACCAAGTACTAAGTACTAACTACCAAGTACTAACCAAGTGCTAATTATTAACTACCAAGTACTGACCAAGTACGAAGTACTAACTATCAGTACTAACCAAGTACAAAGTACTAACTACCAAGCACTAACCAAGTACAAAGTACTAACTACCAAGTACTAACCAACTACTAAGTACTAACTACCAAGTACTAACCAAGTACTAAATACTAACTATCAAGCACTAACAAAGTACTAAGTACTAACTACCAAATCTAAAACATCAAATACCAAGTACTCACTCCAAATACCAAATACCAAATCCCGAATACTAAATTACAATACTAATTAATAAAAAAAAAGCTCCTATTAATCATCTCAGCAAACTAGCCAGCTATTAGTTAACGTTCTATTTACACTAAGTTGGTAATTCGTGACGCAGGTTAAACCGAATGTTATAATTCAAACGGGGTTAATAACGAACGTGTTAAGTCACACCGTTACGTTGGCCGAAACTCGTGGCAAACGCGGCCACCGCCCAGTTCCTAATTACACGAAAGCAGCGTGTTTGACGAAGCGTTAATATATACCGTCGCCGTAAAGTACTTGCACGAGACGTGTCGTCGCGAGAACGTGAAATAGCACGTGGTGGCTCGTTAACGTCGCGTGTTTGATCTTTGTCGGTCAGCCCGTCGTCGCGAACCATCAAACATTAACGCGTCCGGTAGAATCAATCTTTTAACGGAGTGTCTGGCGAACGCAACACGATAATTGCTGGCAAGATTTACCGACGATGGAAAATTCAGAGCGACTCCGCCGTTCCCTGAATAGCAACTTCTGCATAATACGCGAACCGGGAAGATTCTGTTCCGTGACAGTTAAACGGGAACAGGATTGTTGTCGGCCAATATTGCAACAGACAATTCGTCCGCGAATGTAACTCCGAGTGCTTACTACGTTCGAATATACAACGGGGCCAAGTTTAGGTAATTTAACTTCGGGGACTTTACCTTTGAGGCTCTTACGGGTGATTTACCGCTTGTCTCGCAGGGCTTGAATCTATAACTATGTTATAGATGTCCATTAACGCTTTTTGGTTCTTGTAACTCTATGTTCGCGTCTCTAATGAAAAATTACTGGTACAATATTTCAGGATTTTTTATTATTTATTATACGAAATTATTTCATTTTGCATTTCTGGTAGGATTTGATGGAGCAAGGCATGTATTATGTAACCGCGTACTGTATAATTAAGTTATCGTACATTGCATTATCGCGTGCACAATTATTATGTGTGAACTTTTCACGGGGGAAATTGGCAAGTGGAAAATTGCAATATACAGAATTGTAATATGTAGAATTGCAATCTGTACAATTGCAGTACGTAGAATTTCCACGCGTTATATTGCCACGAGTGGAATTTCCACGCGTTACATCACCATGAGTGGAATTCCCACGCGTTATATCGCCA